TGCAGCAGAGCTCCTGCTTCCTCCCCAAGTCCTGTCAACCCAACAGTTCAAAAACTTACGTGAGTAGATAAATGGGTACTCTCACTCCGGTGGGAGGAAAAATGCTGGCAGCCCCTTGCAGAAGGAGTCAGGAGCAGTTGCCGGTAGTGCGGGGAAAAAAAAATCGTACATATAGTGTGGATTTGAAAGAGGATTCAGGAAAAGGGTTGATTTAGTTCCACTTACAAACTCAAAATGCTTCTCTTCCCCTAACTCTTAAGCATGGAGATCAGGACAAAACTCAGTCAATTTAAACTAGATTTGAACTAAAATGAGGGGTATATTTTGAGCACATTATATGCGCTCACCAATATATTCTTCTTTGATTCATTTGTTTCAGTGGTAATCCTTCATTACATAAGCAAAATAGATGGGCTCCATGATATTCCTTCTTCACAGGATCAAAATGGTACCTTCAGAAGCATCACAATATAAGACAGGGCTCTAAATAGGCTTTTGGAAATATTTCTGGAAAGTTCCTTCCCTTCTGCTGAAAATGTTCCTTCTCAGCAGCCAGTACACCCCTACGTTACAGCTGGTGAAATATCTTCCTCTTGGTCTTTTGTGCTGTTAATTACACTGTTTTCTCTAGAAGGGTCGTGGCTCTATTTACAAATGTCACAATATTGTTAATTGATTCTCAACCCTGATCTTTTTGCAAGGTGTTCCTGATAACGGTAGTGTTTTGACTATATCACAGTCCAGTTAGACATTTTATAGGTTAATTATGCTAATTTCTAGTTCTGACACTATCTTTAATTAATACAACAGAATTCCTTGACAAGAAGTTGTCCACTTGCTAATGATTCTCCAGCTCGGAGTGGTGCCCGATTCCACAGCTCTTATGACAAAAGATATGTCATCAAAACTATAACAAGTGAAGATGTAGCAGAAATGCACAATATACTGAAGAAATACCACCAGGTAATTCATTATTTGCTTTGGGAATGAGATTGTTGTAAGAAAAAACCCTTCATTGATCAAATGTTTATATAATGTCTTAGGAAATGGGCACTACAACTCAGATGTATTGCCAATGTATTTTCGATGAATTTGCCATTTATTATACAATATATAACATCTGTGGTTTAAAAAATCCATGAAGACACCTCTAGAAGTTTTGTTACATTTTAATCTTATTCTGTATTAAAATGAAACTATGCTGAATAATTGTTATGTTGGCTTCTTGTTGAAAACAAGTAGTTGAAAATATATCCTGAGTGTTGCTTGACAAGAATGTGTTTGAATCCGGATTGGCTGCCAAAATTTTCCCATTAAAATTGAAATCTATACATTCTTCTATTATTAGAACAATTATGAAAGGTTTAGAACGAAGAAAAAGCATCTGAGATTATCTGAGATCAAGAAGCAGGATCAGTCCCAAGGGCAGAATCCTTCCATATTGACTTTGTACAGGCTGGATGAGGATGGGGTGACATCCAAGCCATGCAAATGGGATTAGGCTCATGAGATGATACATTGACCATCAGGTGGCACTGTATTTCATCCTTTATTGGGATTCTTCAGATGCAGGTAGTCAGGTGTTATTCTGTGTGATTCAAACCCTCTACTGAGAATTGAATTCACAGACCTTTGCATTTTAGCTGACTATATTCAGTGCATTAGCTTTAGGTGCTATCTAGATCAGTGGATGCAGGAAGGGACATCTGAAAGCTTTCAGAATTTTATATACTGTCCACCTTCCTTTAAGCTTTCAGAATAGAGAAATACAGATGTTACATGTCACACATTGGCTACCTGCATCAGAAGAGTCCCAGTAAAGAATGAAACTCATCACGTGGTCCCTCTTGGTGGTCATTATAACTGAAAATACCACATAAGGTATACACTGTGCTAAAATAGAGAAATTCCACCCTGCTCCTCAGAAGGGGCAAGAAGTCATGTAAAATCCTGTATAAAGGGGCATGACATAGACACAACCTTGGCGAACTTAAAGCTGAATAATTTAGGAAATGGGGGAGGATGTAATGTTGCTATTGAAGCTGTGATAGAAGTAATTGGCAGGTGAAGTGGGGTGTGGCTAAGATGTGTACAGTATATACATATCTAAAAAAGAAGGGTAGAAGAGCCATACTAGCTATGCTTGTAAAGGACATATGTTTCTAAGTAAGGATGAACAGAACTCAAAAATTTGGAAAGGGAGTATTTCCTCTCTGCACCATGTCAAGCATGGATGTTCCTAAATCAGTGAGTTTTGCACATCATTAGTCTGTGGCCATCTATGGACCTTAGGTGACAAAAGGGCTGGTCACTACTATATAGTTAATAAAAGTGCATGTTTATTTTAATTTATCCTGTGATGGAACCAAAATGATACAGGTTTCTACACCTGTGAATTATAGTGCCTTTAAACATTTTGAATCTTCATACTTGACAGTTTGCCTTCTTGCAAAAAAATATTTTCTCAAAGCTAATTGGAGAATGATCTAATGAAGCTGTACCAATGATAAATATGAATGTGAAAGGACTGCTATATGCCCTTGCTAGCTGTGTAATTCTCTTCTAGAAGCTGACAGAACCTGAACCAGTTCTATTTTTTAAGTGTTATTCTCACATGAAGCATTGTAGGTCAAGATTTTATACTGAGGGAATAAAAATTCAGATATGCATTTCAGTTTTATATAATTTGTTTTTTTTCATTCTCCATGAACTAGTGCAATTCTAGAATATACTTGCAATCTTAAATCCAAATGAAAATCCATTTCTTTTGCCAAACTGTATGCTGGATACTCTGCCACAATTAAACTGGAATTTATTGAAGTGATCAGAGTCCCAAAGAACAATGAACAAAGTCAATGGAGACAATTATTGATATAAAATAAAGATTTGATCAGAAGTGACAGTGACTGGACAGCTGATAAGTCATTTCTGTCCAAGGGAGATAATATAAAAACAATGAAGTTGTAAATTATAATATAGATAAGGCTTAGCTTTCTCATTATGGGGAAGTTTCAAAAGGCTTTTTGTATAATGTCAGATGATAGTGGTGGATTTCACTGCTGTGGAATGATCTCGGGATATTGACCACTTTTCAGGAACACAGCCGTTTTGTCCAGCAACAATAGCACTATAGTGATTTTTACCACACTTAATAATATTTACTCAGCTAATCATATTAGAATGCCTTATTTTTTTCACTCTGCCCACAATGCACATAGCACGGATACTTTGACCAAAGCAGTCAATTTGAACTTGAATCATGGTAAAACTTACTCAGTTTTCAGCAGCAACACTAAGTTTATTTTTCTTTAGACCACAAAATCCTCCACTAGTATAAAACAGGTTTTGACGTATCTCCTGATAGTAATGCACACTGCCTTCTAAATAGTAGAGCGGATTAAATGTTTTCTAAATAAAACAATTGCAATCCGCACTAAAGGAACCAACATTAACCAGAAGTTGACACAACTGAGAGATCTGTATCAGTACAGAATAAATAAAGAAGTCAAGCTTCCCTAATAAGCCAGTAGGGTTTTCCCCACAAAAAAACAACCACCACCACATTACAAATAAGAAATGGCCCCCTGAAGTGATTTGATAAAATGGACTAAAATAAGCAGTATTCTAAGCTGTGCTTGCAGCTTAACTTTAATTAGCCCCTATTTCAGTTGATTCTCAGTTCATACTTTACTAAAGCTCTTTTTATGTTCCTTATTCCAAATGTTGAAAAAAGAGTATACTTTAGTTTCATAGAGAACTTAATACTTCAGTAAATTCAAGCTATAAGCTTGGCTAGAAAAAAAAGGCCAGACTTTAAAAATGTGAAATGTATTCTAAACTAATATCCCTGCCTTCTCAAAGTATCTGATTTAAAGTTGTTATATTCATTTCACTATTAAATTCAGTTGTCTTAGATTCTTACTGTTGAATAAGAATATAAAATAGAAGCTTCCTTTGGGTATAATGGAAGGGATTATTCTCTACTTAACCATCCCTGCTACTAAATTCATTACAAGAAGGAAACGTTGGTGTTTATGTGGCCCTACCTACTAGTCTTAGTCTCATTAGATAACCAGGAGAGCAAATTAATCTACTGAATTAAAATGTACGTGCATATTTACTTCGTTACTGATAGATACATCAGTTTATAGTGCATTTACAAGCCATGGAGAATGTCATAGGCCAAATTTATTTAGAGTCATGGGCATGCTTATGGAATTAAAATCCACATTTTATGAGCAGCAGTGTAATTTTATGTGAGCTCTAATCCTTACTTAAAATATTACATCAAACATTTTATTATGTTTGAATACTTTAGTCTTTTCTATGCATCATGGGCTTGTTCTTCCACAGGTCTATATTCATATTTTGTTTTTGTGATAATCCTGAATTAGAAGTTTATGATTCAAAATTGTGACTGCCTTCAGATACCATTACATTATCTATGACAATTGTTTGAAAATTATCAGTTCATATACTGTCAAAGTATCTACATTTTGTAATTGATGCAGAACTGCTGAAGATTTCAAAACTAGGTATTTTTCTTCTGCACTTTACTGATTTCTTTTTAAGAAAGTGTTCTTCTGAAAATAAAATATCAGCTTTATATGTTTTTTGGAAACTAATTTTGCATATCAGAGAATTAAATAATATCAGCTAATTGTATTTGTACATTTCCATAGCAGTAAAATTGCTGTACTGTATAACTGTATCTGTAAACTCTAATTTTTATTTTATATAACTGTGTATGAAAATCTGAGACCTCTATTGAGTATCCAAATCAGCAGGGTAATCATTGTAGCAACAGGATTTTCCCTTTCCCCAGCAATGCTGTGAGGGCCTGAGGAGTTGAAAAGCTCCTGTGCCGTTGATGAACACAATATAGAATGCTCTGCAGCTAGAACCTCTTTGGTTTCAATACATCTTCATTCCATTATATGAAAAAGCAGAAGTCTTAAACATGCTTAGATTAAATCTTTAGAGCGTCATCTTTTTTAGGGTGAAAACACCAACCAAATAGTGTTTTTGACCCGTTGTGTACATTGAGAGCCAATGTCATGTAGTGGTTAAGGTGTTGGACTAGAACTGAGGAGACTTGGGGCAAGTCAAACTCTCTCAGCTCAGCTTTCTTTACAAGGATGTGGTTGTTGGGAAAAATTGGAGGAGGAAATATATAT